TGCACTTTGTACCACAGTATAAAAAGTACTATAGTACTGCTACATAAAATGAATTTCTCAATAGGTATAATCATAATAATGGAATTTAATTAAACGAACAGCATGCGAGTTGCATGTTACTTATTGCACGAATAATGGCAACGATTTGTATGTAAACTGCAGCTTAATATTCAAGTAGGTATAACAATATGTAGCAATACCTATTTTTCAATTTAATCATTTCATAGTATCATTCTCAACTTCACGCCGCGGATTTTATTTTGCTAATCTATTTTTAGTGCGGTCATTATTTATTCAGCAAAAAAAAAAATTGTTTTACCTATCGTATCAGTCTTTAACTATTTTTTTTTTTTTTTTTTTTTTTACAACACAGGGGGCAAACGAGCATGCGGCTCACCTGATGGTAAGTGACTACCGCCGCCCATGATCACCCACAACACCTACGGCATTGCAGGTGTGCTGCCGGCCTTTTAAAAAGGAATATGCTCTTTTCTTGAAGGTTATGTTGTCGTATCGGTTCGGAAATACTGCTGCTGGAAGTTGATTCCAAAGAGTGGTTGTGCGTGGGAGAAAGTGCCTTGAAAAACGCACGGTGGAGGACCGCCACTTGTCCAGATGGTTGGGATGAAATTTTAGTTTATGGCGGGTTGTACGATGGTGAAAATCTGCAGCAGGTATCAATCCGAACAATTCTTCAGAGCACTCCCCATGATAAATTCGGTAGAAAATGCACAGAGATGCAACATCTCTACGCAGTTCCAGTGGGTCGAGCCGGACAGTAAGACGCCGATCGTCAACAATTCGAGCTGCCCGACTTTGAATGCGGTCTAACGGAAGGAGTTGGTACTGTGGCGCTCCTGCCCACAGGTGAGAACAGTATTCCATGTGTGGCCTCACTTGAGCTTTATACAGTTTCAGGCGGTTTTCTGGCGTGATATACCGTCTCACCCTATTGAGCACCCCCAACTTTTTGGAAGCTATCTTAGCTTTTTCCTCCAGATGACCGCAAAACTGGACGTCGCTAGATATATCGACGCCAAGAATCCCCAGACTCGACTTATTATCGAGGGAAGTGCCCCGAAAGTAAGGAGATACGACAAACGGTGTCTTTTTTGCGGTGAACGCGCAGACTTGTGTCTTCTTAGGGTTAAAGTGAACAAGATTGCGTTCACCCCAGATCGAAACTTTGTCGAGCGAAGTTTCGATTTCAGACACAAGTCTGGGAGCTCATCGGTATGTGCCCGCGAGATCTTTGCATGACCGGTGTATAATGCATCTCCTGTACTGTCGTCTGCATAACAATGAATATCACTGATCTGTAACATATCATTGATATGCAGAAGAAACAGTGTCGGAGATAGTACACAGCCTTGCGTAATAATTTTTTCGGCTGGGACACCAGCATTCACAGGTTTTAAGTCAGAGCATGCTCCGTCGACTACGACCTTAATGCTACGTTCCTTAAGAAAACTGGCGACCCAACTGCACAATCTCGCAGGCAACCCAAACGAAGGTAGTTTTGAGATTAGTGCCCTATGCCACACCCGATCAAAGGCTTTCGCAATATCCAGACTAACAGCTAAGGCCTCTCCCTTATTCTCGATTGCCACCGCCCATCGGTGTGTTAAATAAACTAAAAGATCACCAGCCGAGCGCCCCCGTCGAAAGCCGTACTGGCGATCTGAGATCAGCTGGCGATAAGGTACCGGAGCAGTTGATGGTTAACAACTGATTCCATGACTTTCGAGAATAAGGAGGTGATAGCTATGGGCCTATAGTTAGCTGGATCTGAGCGGTCTCCTTTTTGAGAGATCGGATGCACCAAAGCAGTCTTCCAAAACTTTGGGACTATACCTGATGAGTAACAGAGCCGAAAAAGACGCGTAAGAACCGGAGCCAACTCTGGTGCGCACGTCCTAAGCACAATTGGAGGAATGCCATCGGGCCCACTCGACTTATGGATTTCAAGGAGAGAAGTGCTCTACGCACTGATCTTTGCGTGAATTTAACATCCGGCATAGAGCTCTTACAACGCGGGATGGTCGGCGGTGGTTTCTCCCCGTCATCCAACGTCGAGTTCGATGCAAAGAGAGATCCAAGGAGATCAGCCTTCTCTTTGGCGTTCAGAGCCAATGAGTTATCCTCCCTGCGCAATGGTGGAAAAGATGACTGACAGAAATTCCCTTGTGCAGCTTTGGCAAAGAGACCAGAAAGCTCGAGACCCCGAAGGTAAACTAGCCAATCTCTTGCCAATTCTACCAATATGCTCTGACTTCGCTGTGGCCAAAACTCTTTTGAAGGACCTAGAGGCAAAGTTATACTTCTTTTTAAGGGCACTGATGTTAGGATCTCGCGACGCCACACCTTTGGCCCAGGCTAGGTAGCACTCCTGTTTCAGGCGAGATGCTATTCTACAAGAGGCTCCATACCAGGGCTGGGATTTCCCACCGACAGGTACCACAGAGTTAGGAATAAATAATTCCATTCCCTGAAGCACCACATCGGCGATGGAATTGGCGATGGCGTCGGGGTCCCTTAGTGCGAAGCAAACCTGCCTCCATGGGTAAGATGCGACAAAAATCCGCATCTCATCCCAGTCTGCCGACCTATAGTGCCAAACACGACGTCTACCCGTGGAACGTGGTGGAATCGGATCTCTGAGAGGCACCTCGCTCCGCACCAGACAGTGATCCGACGATCCAAGCGGAGCTTCGACGGAAATCACATAGTTGTCTGGGTGGGTGGTCAGCAGAAGGTCCAACAGTGAAGGTGAATGGTCCAACACATCAGGTATTCGCGTAGGCGAGGAAACAAGCTGCGTCAGACCATAAGCCAAAGCATAGTCATGAACAGATCTTCCCGCATAGTCGGTTGTACGTGAACCAAGCCATTCGGTATGGTGGGCATTAAAATCGCCAAGAATCACGACTTCAGCGGAAGGAATCTGTTCGAGCAGGGAATCTGTAGTCATTTGGATGTGCTCAATGAGTTGGTCGGTTTCGATGTTACCGCTGTGGGACCTGTATAGGCATGCATAGACGCGAGGATGGTCATTGCAGTCTACGCGCAGCCATAAAATAGACAGGTCCGCACCTTCAAGAATTCCAAGGCGGCGACAGCAGATATCCTCTCTGACATACGCGCATACACCGGCACGCGAAACAAAACAATGTTCAAGTTTATATCGGGTACGTTAGGTATGAAGTTTCGTTTGGAGAGGATATCTGTGTCTCCGTTAGAAAGAGCAATGCCGGCCGCGCCGTTTCTAGGTGGTGGTGAACAGCGTTTAAGTTAGAATGTAATCCCCTGATATTGCAGAAGCTCACATTGAGCGAAGGGGATGCCGTAGAAATCTTGCTTCGTTTGCCCTTGGTTCCAAAAGGAATTTTGCCCCCCCCCAGAATACGCAGGGCAGCCCGAGCGTGGTTGCTCGAGAGAGGATTCTCCAGCAACATGGTTACTGGTAATCCCTGGGGTATGTTATTTTTTTTTAATTCCACTGCCATGGTTGCGTATTGTAAGATAGGGGGACGGGGTTGGGGAAAGGATTTTAGGAATAGGAAAGGGATGGGTATGGGATGGGTATGGGATGGGCCTCCGGACTCCCTCACTCACCATACGGAATGTGATCGCACTAAAAGTGCAACCACTTAGCGTCGGTATTCTGTGAGGGTGTGGTACTTCCCCGGTCAAGCCGGCCCATTCATGCTGCAATACCATATAGGATTACAGCGTGGCTCTACCACAAAAAAAATTAAAATTAGATAGATAGATAGATAGATCGTTTATTTGTTTGTTACTAATCACACACAACATGTACATAAGAATAGATAATACATAAAACAACATTACCGAATATAGGCTTCCCTCTGTTGGAGGGGTTTGCGATGAGCTCACTTCCAGCAAACCCTAAATGAATAGGACTATCAACGTCAGCGTGTAGAGCGGTGTAAAATATTATGACGATTTTCAAACAAATAATACGAATAAATAAAATATTTACATAAGGATAGAAGTAGCTTTTTAAGTCTACTCCTAATATCATGATTTCAGCCATTACCTGTCCACTGCTGAACATTAACCTTCCCCATAAAGGGAGTTTTGCTAGTGGTTCCACTCTTAAAAGTTTAAAGAATTGATAAATGTATGCAGCCTGAAAGGGGGTTTGATTTTTGCAACTTAAAAGCAAGTAAGTAGTTTAGTAGTGACATATTTAGTTTTTACATAAATTGATATTTGTTATTATCATATACTATATTGTTCTGTTAAGTAGCCTGTCGAATGTATATGTCAACTTTGTTTTTTGTTTTCAAAGTCCTTTATTTATCATAAGTGATTACAAATATAATAAATTCCAGTGTACGTAAGCCTAGAATTTATAATCAGCCATAAATCGTTTGGCGAGTAATATACACTCCTTCAAACATTTAAAATAGAGATGATTTTCAACTGACTTCAAAATAAAAGTAGGTTTTGCAATTCGGTTGTATTCTTTTTATGTTTGCTATTTTATAACTAAGTTAGTTGTAAACTAATTTCGAAAATTATTTTTTTATCTAAAAAAATTTTCAGATTAGTCCTATAGAAATATTAACAAAATTGGTTCAGTGGTTTAATTTTTAAATCAAAATAACTGGTTTTACTACAATTGAAGTCGGTTTGTTTTGTGGACAACAATCTTAATTAGTTATGTGTTACCTCATAACTCTGTCATTTATATCGATTTGATAAATACTTTCTTTGTTATGGTTATCTTTCAGATTGGCTGGTTGTAAAACCAAAAGCCAAATTCTTGTGAATTATATATATGTCATATAATGTTGATTTCAAATAATTGGAATAAGGAAAGTAAGATAGTGATGTTGTCGTCTTTCAAATTATTTCCCTAGTAATTTAATGAAAATCGGTTCAATAGTTTAGTTTCTAAATTAAAATAACTGGTTTGTTTTAAAAACAGTTGAAGTTTGTTTTTTCTGATGGTGCAGAATCTATAGTCTTACCTGAATGCAGCACTTATGTGATGGTTCTCTAGCACTGCTCTGTCATTGTAAAGTAACGCTGTATCAGACCCCGACATTACGTGGAAGTTGTTTGTGGTGCCCGTATGCTCGAAGTCGTGGACGATTGCTGCCACTAAAGTAGCGAAGATTTCAAGATCTGACAGCCAATTCTAGAAGACAAATAATAATAAATTAAAATCAGTAATGATGGCTCTGGTTGCCTGTTGTCATGCATGTTTATTGTTTACAAAAGGTTGGAATTAATGCGATTATTTAGGTAAATTATAATAATAATTTATCTAACTGATCTTGACATTTTTTTATGTTAAATGCATCGAATAGAGACACGGTCAGTGTTGTGTGTGTTGTTGTTGTTGTTGTCTTTCAGTAAAGGCATACAATTGATGTGATGTGAGTGGGTAGAAGAAAAATTTCTACCACGGAAGTAATGGCATGACAGCACTAAGTCAGTCTACTTGTGACCATGGTAGGCACTGCGTGTTCAAAACATCGAGATAATTTAGGTAATGTGATTGTAGTTTATCTAAAATACCACGTTAATTCCTGTCTCTTATAAAGCGTAAACTTGATTTTTTTATAAAACTTCTACAAGTATTTATTTGTACAACTTAGAATGGAAAACAAGCTGCCGGTATACCTGATGGAAAATGGTAACCGTCTCTTATAGACATGCACAGTACTATGAATATAACAAAGTATACTGTGTCATCTAAGACATCTTTCATGCGTTGCTATTTCTGAGGACTAAATTTATTTGGATAATGTACCGTGATGCTTATATTATACCAAAGGTCGTGTTACCTAGTGTCTTTTGAATGACATATTATATCAGTCTAGTTGATTGTATTTTGATTTTCTAGTCGGAATAATGTAAGTGAAGATGACAATATTTACAAGCAAGTAAGTAGCATGTTCATGCATCATACTTCTGAATGGGTGTTATTTGAAAAAAAAAAAGAGAAAAGGTGGGAAACTCGAGAAAATTTTTTACACCAAGCGCTCAGTGTTCTTTATAAAGAACTCTTTACTACTTGTCCTAGTTTTGTTCTTTATTACCATTGTGCATTAAGTTTGCCCTTAGTTGCATCTTAAAATAAATTAGTTGTTCTTGAAATACGAATATATAATCTGTACCAAATATTTCTCTCATATAGAGAGATCTGTGTCCAATATTGGAATGTTTTTTAATGGGTGAAAATGGAATGGTAATCCGGCTTGCGCTATCGGTATACATTGGTGGGAAAACAATGAGAGATGATAGACGAGGATAAAAGTAGATCAGTTAGCTCATAATATGTTAGGTGTGGTACATTTAACTTACCATAAGGCCAGTCTGACATAGCATATAATGCACGGTCTGCGCTACATCAGCAGCGTGCAGGTTATTGTGATAAGGATTGTGGAACTTGCAGTAGCCTTCCTCTATTCTGCTGAGGAAGTTCTCCAAAATGGTTGGAGGGACCTGAAGAAAGAAAAGTATTCTTTAGATTGCGAAGTAGAATTTTTATGGATTAAAATGAAATTTATTGCTAGAACCTATGGACATTACCGTGGACTAGTGGTATATAATCCAACTTTTAAAGGTTTATACTGGTCAACACAAAAATTTTTGTGTGTGAATTGAAATCACCTACTAATTCTTCTGTAATCAAAATCGCATACTGCGAATGTCATTACCAAGCTAAATTAATCCAAGACACGGCGGTAGACCTGCCCCCTGCTACGTTAGAAATGAATATGTTCGGCGTAATGTCTAATAGACGGTAAATGTCTCTAACTACCCATAAGGGGATAAAGTCGTGATTATATTTATTAACAATAAAATTTCATTCCAATCGATTTAAGTGTTATTGAGTAGTAAATGAGAAATGTTTTTCTCATTGGAAGACCTTTTTAACGTAAAATTTTAAAGGCGTGTTTCAAATTAAATATTTGCTCGCCACACGGTTGAATACAAAGATGCTATTTTTAAGATTAAATACCTCAAATTTTACCTGTATTCGGGCAAATAAAGTTTCATGCAAATATCCGTATTAATACATAATACATTGGCAATGATATTACTAATATTATTAGTAGGATATCTTTGCCGATATTTGTTAACTTATACTTGTAATAGAGACTTGGAAAAGACGAAAAGTCGAGTAAAAGGCAAATATTGCGAATTTTAATATAGGAGTTTTGTTTGATTTGCATCAGCCTCTCGTGTAGTCCATTTTTGTCTGGCACCTATATTTTTTATAAGCTATGCCATTATAAGCTGAGCCCTGACAAAGAATATGTACGCAAAGAATTCACGACAAGAGTAATCTCCAACTTGTTTTGAGTTATCGAGGAGGCTATTAAAACTTTCATTTCAACTTTTCCACGTTGATGAATATTTTTTTCGTTACTTATTTTTTCATTAACTTTAATATTAAGAACGTTACAAATTAATTTATGGAATATAAAAGTTTTAGAAATAAATTTAATTATGATGTCTTTTAGCTAAAGGCCTGATTAATAGGAGTTGTATGGTATTTAACGTTTTAACTCAAATTTAGAAATTTACATTACATTACATACAACATTTTCCATTGAATGTAAGTACGTCACTATTTTTAGTGTAAAATCCATGTAGTCTAAATGACAAAATGGATTTTTATATATAAGCTTATAAGACTAAATTACATCATTGTATGAAATTAATATTTACAACCTGAAAAAATATATTTTATGCATTATGTTTTTTTTTAACTTTGTTCTGTCTATTTAAAGGTATAACACGTGTCGCAAAACGTGCGTGGACGGAATGGCAGTCGGAGATTGATGACTAGAATGGAAGGTTGTAGAATTTATGGTTTTAATAATAGTAGTCAATGTTTGAGTGATGGCAGTCTCTAATGGATGCTTGGTAGTGGATTTAAACAAAATAATTTTAATCAACTAACCAATAAAATTGAAATATTAAAACATGATTTTCACAGACTGATAGGCACGAGCCTTTAGAATTCTTAATGTTTTTCAGAGATCTTAGGTAAACAGAAATAAAAGAGCGAACATAAGCCTCAGCTTTTCTTAGAAGGCAGTACACCGACAAATTGGATTAGTGTCTGATAAAAAGGAAGGTTTAATTTAACTTGTCGACATGCATTAAAGGTCGGTTCTATTAGTGTATATCGGGATCTTGTTATTGATGTTTAATTAAATGGTTTCATCGATATTATATTTATAATATATTTCTCATTTAAATTAACTGTATTTATTATTTTTATTAATGGTACAATTTATTACTGTTCATTTAATTTTATTAAATACTAATTGTATTTGCGGTATTCCTCGCGTAAATAAATAGATGAGAAATAATCAAGAATCCACAAAAAACCGACTTCAATTATGGCTAAAATAGTTATTTTAATTTAAAAATAAAATTACTGAACGGATTTTTATAAAATTTCTATGGGAATAATGTGTAAGTATATCCTTTTAGATAATAAAATATGGTAACAAACATAAAAAAAATTACAACCGAATTGAGAAGCTCGTTTTTGAAGTCCGTTAAATATTATACATAAATCTAGTAGAATGTAGTTTATCTGTGTACCAAATAATATTAAAATCTGTCCAGACATTTAATCATGTTTGATTTAAAAATCCAAATATTTACAAATTTTAATAATGACGAAATCTTGTTGGTTGGTCAGTGCATGAATTATGAATGGATGAATAGATTTGGCAACTTTTTTATTGTTCATCGTCCAATTGTTGGGATAGCTAGTTTATGATAATTGATAGGTAAAGTGAAAGCTTTATTGATGTTTTTGGTAAGTATTAATTTTGAAAATATGCGATTTTATTTACTTTTTGTAGGCGACAAAGAAAACCAGGAGGGAGTTAGAAATATATGATATTCAATTAGAGGGATTAATAGAGGGAATTTAGAAAATTAGGGCCATGAAGGGTAGCCCAAGGGAATAATAGAATGATGTGACAATTTCGAATTTAGTAAAAAATACTATAAAACAATAGATAATAAATGTAGGACGTACTCCACAATTATTGTCAGAAATAAAGCGATTCCTTGCACGGTGTCCTATATTTTCTTCTGTTCAAGAAAGGTTTTTGAGTAGAAATAAGGAACAGCTAGGATAGAAATATATGTTGAAACTTACCTTGAACTTGTGAATCATTCCGTATCTATTGAGTAGCTCGTACCCGAGGTACTTGACAGGCGCTCCGCTGGCTGCGTCGTGAAGTGCGAACACGTCGAAAGACCATTCGTCTAACGTCTGCAGACAAACAGAAAACCGTTACAACATTAAAAACGCATTAAACTCCCATTGGTGGACTTAAGTCTACCCTTATTAGCAGAAGACTACCATGCTAGCCAAGCGGTCGTTTGCTCTAAATATATTATTTATATTTCTATTTACAAGCCATCATAGCTATAAAATATTTTAGTATTATATAAATATCGTACCATGGACATAACAGTATACTGTTTCGCCTATGATATCCTCCATGCGCTACCATTTCTGAGGACTCAGATGTTATTCCTCTGTACCCAGATATATTAGGTTATTTGTAGTTAACAACAAATTTTTAAAAAAATTGCGTAAGAACGTACTTTTACTACTATTATTATTAGGGACGCAGATTAATACATATTTGTAACAGGAGTAATTTAAAAGTTTTAGACTAAGTCAAAAACTAGAATTAGAAAATATTCTATTTATTAGAAATAAATAGAATATATTCGTTTGTATTTTTGGAAATTTCCCCCTAAAGGGATGAAATGGGGGATGAAAATTTGTATAGAAATTTTGTTATTTTTGTAGTTAGAAGTACGAAACTATCATATTTTTGAATTTTTGTTAAAAACAAAATGTTTTTCAGCAAAATCTAATCTATCCCTAAGAGAGTGAGATAAGAGATGTTTTGATTAAGATGGATGTTTGCATGTAAATTTGTTGATTTTAAGTCGGGAAGGAGAAGTGACCTTATGGGTCTGGTATATATATACATAAAGGTATAGTAAGAGATGTGTGGAATGAAAAGCAACCAACTGTAGTTGCCAACCCGCCCGCCAAGCGTGGCAATTACTAGAAAACCCTCCAAGGGGGAGGCTTATGTTCAACAGTGGACAGTTAAGGGCTAATATAATGACGATGATGAAGGCGAAGTTTCCAATTTAGGTATTTATGAGGAAATAAAGTGTTTTATTATTTTTGAAAACCTAATAGGTATCACACGCGAGTGAAGCCGTGGGCAAAAGCTAGTCAGTAATAAATAACCAATACTACAAGCAGGTAAAATTACTTGACTGTAGTCTACGGCTCTGCCTGAATTCCTTCTACGGTTGATAAACACAATTTTGTTTCGTTTTTGGTAAACAACGCAATCTCTTCCACAGGATATTTTTATATCCGCTGCTAGTACCGGATTGTGTTACCATAAATAGAAAAACGTACTGTTAGTGTGAGGCACTGGTTAATATAAAAAAAAAACAACTTTTTGCCACACACCAAAGTTTTTTAGTATTTTTACACAGTGTTCTATTATTAACTTATTTTGTTTACACTGCACTTTTAGCTAATTTGAAGGTCCATTAGACTCGCGACGCGCGAAACCCTGGGTTCAGGGTTTTATTGAACCCGGATAATAAATCCAACTAGTTAATTTTACTGGCCAGACCGGCGGACAGAAACCAGGTCCGTAGCTGTGCAGTAATTTGGCTAGCTAATTTACGACTGCCTGGTTTAGGATTTGTATGAGGATATATAGGCATAATACTGCTGATTTAAATGGAAATAAATATGCTATTCAGCAATTATCAGCAATTATATGTCTACATGCTAGGATTGTAACAGTACGTAGTAGTAGGTGCAAAATATATGTAAATATAATTTAAGAAGCCAGCGAGAGATTTTGTATAATAGTCGTTTGCTTGAGTACCTCTGTTCCATTCATGTTTCTACCGTGAAGTAGTTGTTTGCATGGCTGTTATTAGATCTGAAGGGTGGGATTTGGCAGTGAATTTACAGGGTGCAGAGGAATAACACCTGAGTCCTCAGGAATGTCAACGCATGGGGTATCATAGGCGAAACAGTATACTCTGTTATGCCCATGACATTGCTCATGTCTATAGGTGAAGGTTACCACTTTCCATCAGGTGGGTCGTCAGCTTGTTTGCTATTCTAAGTTGCATAGAAATAAAAGTAAGAAAATTTGTCTTCCTATAATGTTATTAAGATTACTTTCAATATCTGGAGGCAATTCAAACAGAATGCGAAGTCACAAAACTCTCACACTTTTTTTAATAAAGCGACTCAATCCTCGGGATGAAATCAACTAAACAGTATAAGGTTATATAAGGTTCCAAATACCCAACCAAAAGAGAAGACTTCAAATATAATAAGGTACCTATCTACATTTTATAAGCTTTTAAAATATATCTATGTTGGTTGGAAGCGGCATTTTTATATGAAGTAGGTAATGTAATATAAGATCACAACTTAGATTATATAGATGGAGTGTCTCCATACAAATATTTTGAGACAAGCGGATCAACTTTTTCATACAATTTTGCGTAATAAATAGTTATGAGTGTTTTCTTTACAACTTCTATTATAATATAATATTATAATTTTCGCATCTTTTTTAATATGTAAAAACCAATTTTATTTATTAAATAATTGAATACAGATAAGATACATTATATGCCTAAGTATTTATATAGAACACTGTTAATAAAACGATTCAGCTTATTTGACAATCAGCTGACAAAGAGTTGACCTGATTTTGAGGCTCGATTCTCTATTTATATAATCTAAGGATCACAATTATAAAACCAAAAGAGAAGAATTTAAATAAATAAGGTAACTTTATATTACATAAACTTTTAAAATATACCTATGCGGGGCCTTTATGTGAAGTAGGTATTTTACATGTACACAAAGAGCGCTTAGAAACTCAGCGTCCCTTCAAGAATACCGTTCAGCCACGATTTAATCTTTTCAAGACTTTGTATGACTTTGAAAACTGATTAGTGATACCATATAAATATAGGAGAACTAGCTGTGCTTAATAATATTCTCTGTGCTGTAATTTCGTTCGCGCAAATACAGTTGTGGTGAGTAATTTGTCGTATACAATGTAAAATGACGAAGGCAATTTAAGTAATTATACGTCTATGTACTACGTCATTGTTTAATAGAAAATGTTCATTTTACTATTTATGTATAATGAAATATTTTTATTAATTATTACAAACTAGGGATTCAGCAAATATAATACTTGATACAGCTAATAGGCAATGTAACTTTCCATAGATAAAACGTTTTTTTTAGAAGAAATTGGTTGAGTTGTTTTTGAATTTATTCATTACAAACAATCAAATCTTTTCTCTTTATGATATTAGTATAGGTATAAAAGTAAGTATGTTCGTTATTTTTTAACGTCTTAACGTCAAACAACATTTTATATTAAATTTTTTTTATATTAATAAATTACAATTTAATATAACTAAATGTAATTTTTTTTTTAATTTATTTACTTATTAGTATATATATATATATATATATATATATATATATATATATATATATATATACTCATAAATCATTTATTCTTGTTGAATATCTAAAGCAATATCTAATATATTTAATTATATTTAAGCTAGGAAATATAAACGTGGCAATTTTGGATAAATTTTTTGTTGACAGATAATCAAGATGAATGAATTACGAGTAGAGTAAAATCTCAATTATGTTATTCTGAGCAATGTAGTTGATAAAAAAGCTTGTTATTTCATTACAATTATTTTCTTTAATTCCGCTACCAGTAAACTATTTGTAGTGGAATTAAAGAAAATAATTCTAATTAAATAAATAATAATAAGTGAAATGGACTTCCAAAAGATAACACCGAGTTCAGTAAAAAAGCTCGTGTATTATTTATATAATTCCAGAGGAGTGTGTTGAATTTTTTATATACGCAGGAATTTCTCTCAGGTTGTTTAGTGGGTTATAGAGGGGGATTTAATATTATTTCATCCTTTTCATATTATTTTTATGTCTATTGCAAAATAGATAGATAGGTATATACGTTTAGATGTATATACCTATCTATCTATTTTGCAATAGGATATATGGATGGGATAGTAAAAGGGATTTTGTCAATTAATGCCAATGTGGTGAACGTAATACGTCGACATGCAATTAATTTTGCAAAATATAGATCCACTCCAAAATAATTGTACTAAACTAACAGTAATAGGATTGTAACTAAATTTCATACAGAGTTTAGTACTAGGCAGCTGTGTAAACAACATATGTAGCAAATTGAGAGCGAGTACTATAACACTAATTGGAGTGGACCAACTAGCGCTTAACCTTTGCTCTACAGACCTTTAATTGAACATTCCAGAATATGTGGTATTCAAACAGCGTCTCACTCAATCCCTAATTTGTATGTAATCCAAATATATCTATTTTATGTTACTTTTTTTTATTGTAGTAATTAAAATAGGCACATTTTGTTACTGTTTTATGTTTGAATTAATATTTTATATATTATTGTACTTCTTTAATCAGTTAATTATGTATTGAAGATAAAATAAATAAAAACTTATTTGTTTTATTCCCGTCATATTTAAATATTAAGTTTAATAATTAGAACTTATATGTGTTGAAACTGAATTTAATGAACTTACAAATGTTTACAAGCATGCAAAATGTTGTTTGTATACGTGAATATATTGGGAATTCTAATGTACAATTATTTTTTAATATTTATTCATGAATCTGATTCTGTGATCACCGCTTATGTCATATTCTAATTTTGGCTTTGCAAATATTCTAACATTTCTTATATTTATGTTGCTAATAGAGAGTAGCTTTTTGTGCCAAAAATTGTTTCTTTTGTAATTATGGATATACTAAGTATAATACAAAGATATACCCGTCATAATTCACGCCGACAAAGAATTACCATAATTAAAGATTACGTCCCATAAAAATCGACTTGTATTGTGACAAAACCAGTTATTTTGATCTAAAAACTAAACTACTGAACCAATTTTAATAAAATTTCTATGGAATCCATGATAACAGGTGTAAGTATATCTATTCATAGAAAAAAAATATAACCGAATTGATAGTCTTTTTCTTTTTGAAGTCTCTTGACTTGTCTCTTTTTTTTTCTCTCTCTTTATATTACAAAAATATTCTATAGATGTTACAAATACAAACCTTTAATACTCTCACAACATCTTGCGGGAACTGCATAAGGGCCGTACTTGTGACCCTTCTGTAAATCCTGTCGACGAAGATTCCAGCCCTGATCGCGTGCGCCACTGACCGGAACTTGGGCTTCTCGTCCGACTTTCGTTTCGAAGTTGCCAACTGCCTCGTGAAGGTGGACGCCAACCACTCGCGGACTTCAGGTGGGACGGCATCCGGCTGTACTTCCGACAGCTCGTCATCTTCGTCAGCCAGTCGCCTGCACACAACCCAAAATAATGTTGGTCTACCTTATAATACCAAAAGTCGGCAAGCCCGAAGACATAAGCGACCGCGCGTGGCGAAAAATCGCCACAATACGATAACAAAATTAATACACGTTGATTGAAAATAAATTGAGCATTGTAAATCAGCCAGACCTTTATGCACTCCAACATATTATCCACGGAAAGCTGTTAAGCTATAAATTTAATCATTATATATAATCCAGTTTTATAATGATACGATAAGTTCGGACCGAAGTTACATTGTCCATTATTGAATTTATTCCATCAGATAAACTGGAAATAACAATTTAAGCGTATATCTTCCACTAACTGAATTGCTTCCTAGTTATCAATACCGCTGTAACAACATTCATAATAACTGCTATCAATAACAATGTCCTCAAAACAATGTGGAAGGAATAGAATTATAATACAATATAATTTATCTAATAACTAAATAAGATCAATAATATTTTTATTGTATTATAAATTATAGAAGTATTATAAATGTACATGTTTATAATTTATGAAATAACGGTCTACGAACTTACTGTTACTAAATTCAAATTGGAAATCTATAAGTATAAAACTAGTTTGATAATATAAGTTCAATTCACTAATGCTACCTCTATTAGTATTTCTATGCTGTATTAGTATTACTATTGCTGTTGATAAAAGTGACAAGACCGACAAAGTTGCTGAAAACAAATCACTAACAGCTAGAGATTTATTCCCAAAGATTAAAGATAATGCAATTAATATGTCTGTAACATATGATAAAATTTCATTAACAAAAATTAAAGCAACTTACTTATTGGATAAATAATATAAATAAATTATTACTTAAATTAGTTTAAGAAATTAATAAATTTTTAATAGATAACTAGAATGTAAATAGTTTTAATCCAGTAGGCAAGTTTGCAGTTGTTAGTTAGTAGACTATCAAATTTTAGACAATGATATAATTCTTATAAAGTAATTCAAACATTCCTGTAGTTGTTCTATTCTAGGTTTGTTTCATTTTAAATATATCATTATGTTCACTATACTTGTAGGTGTTCAGATATTTATTATCCTTTCAATATAGAAGTGAAATGAAATATAAGTCCGGCACAGTTACAGCATGCTTTGCGAACTGGGAAAGGTTCGTGGATCTCATGCATCGTGCTTAAGAACATTTTTTTTTTACATTCCTTTCCATTGAAAGTAATTTGGACATATTTCAATTTGACATATCGCATTGGTTTCATTGTTGATTTAAGATTGGCATTGGATTAAGACATCTATATTATTAAATCGTAGGTAGTTTATTGTATCTAAAAAAATATAATATTGTAAATGTAAGTTAATATTTAAACAAAAATATGAATTGTCAATATAATTGACATTAATAATTAAAAGAAAATAAAAAGAAAATGTAACAACAATGGAAAGCAGTGTTTCATTGAAATATGTATGACAATACAAGCAGGTTTCATTAGATGCTCGAAGTGAGGGTCTTTTACTCGTATTGCCTCTTGAATAAAATCTGAATAATACCGCTTATGTCTGCTGATGAATACCACAGAAGTTATTGAAAGAAACATTGTATAGTTATGTTTTTAATTTTATTTAAGTTGCAATAGAGTTCATAATAGTGAGAACATCGACACACCTAAACACCAGGGTTGGGGCCGACTGCTGGCGCGCCACTGCCGGTCTAAAATAAAACACGACGTCATTGGGACACAGTCAGGGAAACATTGGGACAGCTAGGAATTCATTACCAATAAGATAACATTGATGCCCGGTTGCCTATCATCTTTTCAGTAGTAATTTTTAGGATAAAATCTTTAATAAACAAATTTGAAATTATTTTTTTAATTTATTTCTAACAATGCAGACAACCGGTTGTTTTACTAGTTACATCAGACATCATATATTGAAATTTAATAAAGTATCAGAAGATAAAATTAAGAATATTTACAATTGAACATTTAATATGTACATAGCTATAATCAGAAAAATATACAAATATTTACAAGTAACTATATATATTTTGTAATAGCTTTTGAAATACTAAAATATTACAAAAAAAAAAAAAATACTGAATAAGAATAATATTGGATGTAATATCATAAACACAATTTGGGAAATACACGAAAGAAGTGACCAGAAAAGAATGGAGTTGACATGCTTCAGGATAGAAACAGAAGACAGATTGAAGAAACGAATACGAGTAACAAGTTTACACGGGACTATACCGTTCTAATCTAAATGTACAGAGATTTGCTATTCTACTTGAGAACAAGTTAAGCAATAACTGCTACCTAATTGGTAAAAAGCAGAAATTAGGTAGTACTTTGACCCAACTTCTTCTCGAAACAATTAGTGTACAATAAAAAAAAAGGACCGACTAAAACCTAAAATAACAAAACACTAGGAGGCCGGAGCAAAAAAGATGCAGGCAGTGTCTCCGATCCATGTCGCAGTGATTTAGGGATAGTCTAATAGAAACTACTAGGAGGGAAGGATATTGAGACAGATCGAATAATTGAAGCTGAACAGAACAATAAGACCTAATCGCACAGATCGGACAGAAGGGAGGCGCGACTACTTGGCCATTGTCGGCGTTGTTGTAACGGTATTAACTTTGCTTCGTTCGGTTTCTCTACTGAGCATCTGGCCCAGCACGGGGTGCGTAGGCGCCGCATGGGGAGCGTGGTCTGCTGTGCGCGCGGCTGCTCGGCGTCTCTCCTATCCCTGCGTTAGACATAATCACTGGCGGCGGCGCGAGCACGCGAGCGCTGTTCAACTATTGTTACACAAACCCTATCTTGAATAACGCGTGAAACGCAAGCTGATGGTACTCCTATTGAAAGATATTTTAGAAAACAACATTATTATAAAAATTGTACAAAAAAATAAGATAGAAGATGTATAAAGTAAAATATACAGATGCAATGTCGGAGCATTATTAAATTTTTATTACATTCATATTTGAGAGTCGCAGAAACAAAGTAAAAAAGACAAAACGCAAGTACTGCATAGTGATTTTTAGATGGAGATAATACTGCTGCGATGTCTGTTCCTTTTATTATATTTAACTTATTTTTTGGCTGCTCTTCAAATATTTATTTTAGAACAATAATTGCATAAAAAAGTTACTTATTATGAATAATTGTAGTTTAATATTAAGACTGATTCTATAAAAAAATCATCTTCAGTTATTGTAAAACTGGTTATTTTATTTTAAAAATGAAACTACTAAACTGATTCGACATAATTTCTTTGAGATTCAATCTCAAAGAAGTATATATTTTTAGATAAAAATGTTTTTTCAAATCGGTTTATAACTGATATATACCGGTACATAACTGATGGAGTTATGAGGTAACAAATATAAAAAAAAATACAATTGAATTCTCTTTTCTTTTTTAAGTCGATCGAAAATAAATACCATTTTTATGTTACAGTAATAAAAAAAAATCGTAAATATATTGAGACACCAATAGAATATACTTATCTATCTTCATATATATTTCCTATTTCTTGTACAATTAAATATACCACTTGAGTATGAAGCTTGGTTTCGATATTTCAAACATTTAATATTGCATGTAAAACATCTTTATATACATTTAAAAATGTTAATCTTCATCGTACCTCCGATCAAACTGTTTAAAACTAATTCTTTTCCATCTAAACGTTGCCTGAAAAATCACTTTTAGCGATAAGACCACCCATTGTTTTCTCACTGTGATCATTTATTGTAAATGTTTGTATCTATAATAAAGAAAAAATTAAAGATACCATTTCTAATTCAATTTCCCTTATTTTCATCACAACTGTACAGTCTCACTAGAAGATGAAAACATTTAATGCAGCCAACGAAGTGCTCACTTCGTTACAAAGAGATTTTTTTTTCTGTTTCCTTGTTTTTGTTTTGATGAAGTGAATGAAAATAATCTTTTCACGTTTAAATTACGCTTAACTTTCTGTTTTAAAGGTAAAAAATTGTTTATCGTACTGTATTGCGCAGTTTTCATTCATTCTGAATCAGGTCAGGTCTTTTATCTATTTTTAAGTGACTTCCTAAAACTTTCCTCGAGTTCTCTTTATACTTTATTTTTTGTCCTGTTACGGGATCAAGTTACCATTTCTGATTAACCAATGACCAATTTTTATAATTCGTTTTGCAATTACCAAGATTTATTCCCGTGTTGGTGTCATATTAATTTTCCGATAATTACAGATGCTGTTTTTCATTGTGGAGCCAAATATTATCCGTTGCAGACCAAAATATACTTATATTATATATAAGTGATTCTGTTTACTAAACGTAAATATTTTCAAGTATCTAAGAATAGGGATGGGCAGCAGCGTTCCTCTTAAAACATCTTTAAAAGCTGCGGCTGACAACCCGCTTGTCAATCGTGGAGATTTGTTTTATAATATAGGTGCAAAGGAGCATGTGACTCACTGATCACCCGCATCACCAGAGGCATTGCAGGTGTGCTGCCGACTACTGTCAAAACTCTCCTTATGATGAAGACTTATCAGCAGTGGATAGCTAACAGCTGAAATGATGTGTCAAAGAAACATTTCGTGTTCCACTATAATAATATGTGTTTATAACTGAAGTAACTTTTTTGTGTTATTATAGTTATTTTAAATTATAACTATTTGAAACAATTATTAATTTATAATCCACTAACTACTTGACTGAGTTCACTACACTTTATTATATATCTATATCTTTTGTTTCTTATAATCAATATATTTTTGAATCAAAACACATTAATTAACATTCTGCATGGCGCCTGTCACCAGCTATCGGTTATAACGTTACAATTTGATTCTTCATCAATCATCTGACAAAACCATGCTGAAATGAGATTGTAATTTTTAAGGTGATTGAAACTTCGCCGAAGTTCACTAATTACAACTGACTGACGTATACTGATTTATTGTATTTTATTACTTACTGGTATCAATAAATCCAGACGAACAACGAAACAATTATATAGCATTTTTTTCTCATATTATTATTATTAGGAATATAAATAGAAAGTAACGTAGACATTATGAGGTACTATTCATTTTTTGTGTAAATAAAAATTAAATGCCTCATTCAGAGGTGATACACGTATCGTAAAGCATACGTGGACTCAATGGCGGTCGGAGTTGATAGCTAATATGGAAGCTTATAGAACTTCTGGTAATAATAATAAATCAACTTTCGAGTATTGGCAGTCGCACGCATACTAATGGTAGCGAAATTAAAGAATTAATTATTAATTAATAATGAACAAACTAGTGATATGGATTTACGTAAAATAACACCCATTTCAGTAAAATAGATGATATTTGTTGAGATCGCTTGAGAATATTTGAACCAAGTTGGTTATATTTTTAAATGAATCCGTTAAGGCTTTTTTAGAAAAAAAATGTTATTTGGACATGAAAACGTTCGTTACATCAGTTAAAAGGCAACGAAAGGTTTATGCAAAAAAAAAGTAATAAAGAAAAATCGTTTTATCGTTATAAAGTGGAATGTATAGAAAAAATGTCAAAATAAAGAAAATATTCGGTTTGAGAACACCTCTACCGAATATACCGAATATAAATGTTTGTAATGCTAGTTTATATCTAGTTTATATAATACATAATACGTCGTGTAGAAACATTTAGTATTTTAAAATATACTAAATTCTTTAGAATTAAAATACAACTATTCATAAAAAAATATTAATTAGAAAGTTTTCTTTAAAAAATTTAGGGAATTTTTAGTATTTTTTTTTTACAATAGTAGTCGTCTAAGGCCAAGTATAAAAATAATTCCAGCATTCAATAGAAAACAGTTAGGGTACTAAATAAGATCTCATACTAAATGAAATATACAAACATTGTTTCCCTATTTCGATACATGTTCCATGGAAAAAGTTGTTCAATTTCATGAATAAATCGTTGGATTTCGAATTGACAAATACTTTCTGTCACATCTCGTATAAATAAGTTCATTCGTTCTCTCAATTCAGATTTATCTATAAATAAAAAGCATCCATTTAATATTTTACAAGCAATATTTCATATGTTTTAAACATAAATCAGTTGACATTATGAAAACGTTAATGTTCCTTTTAATTTAATTCATATTTGAAAAAAATAATTGCATACCTAATTACAGTTGTGATGGTCCTGAATTTTTTAAGGGTATTACCTGTCCGAAACGTTTTGCATCACTAATTAACCGGGATTCTGGGTTTCCACACTGATTAAAGCTTCCACTGTAATTTTCATCATAAAACTCAGGATGAATCTCATTAAATTCCTTTGTCGGATTCTTGTAAGATTTCTATGGTCCATCGTTTGTTTGGTTTATTTTTAGTTTAAGAAATTATCCGTTATATTTCATTTACGTATTTCTTAAGGTAAAAGTATGGGGAATACGTAGAAAAATAACGTAGCAAGATACTAAAATGTTTAATAATACGTTTTCGGAATTTTCAAGACGCGTTAGTGCCTCGAGATTTAGGTTAACGACTCTTTTCCAATATAATCCAATAACACTACAGCATAGAAGATGGCTTTAGATGGAATAGGTTGGAATTTTACTTAAGTCTATTTTTATCGATAAGTATTTAAGTGCATACCAAGCAGGAGCAGTATTTAAAAAATCAGGTTTTAGTATTTCAAAGATATTTAGAGTAAGTTGTCTATTATTAAAATTGTGCTGTATAATTTAATTTTTCGTTTTCGATTTCTAAGAATTAACGATAGGATTACAATATAAATAAACTGTATACTAAAAATGCTCCGGCATCACATTGAAATGAAAGAAAAAGGTAACAGAGCGAAAAGTACTGCGGGAAAGCAATGAGAGAGCTTTTAAAGGGGCTTTGGCACAAAGAAATTGATGGTCTTAGTGAGCTTATAAATAAATTGGCCGCCGTTATAAACAGTAAATAGCAGACGGCTAGGCATCTGAAACATAAAAGTTATGAAAAAAATATTTTGTCTATTCATAATGTGAATTTGATTACGCCTCATATGTTCGAAGATTATGTTGTATTATATTTGAAAAATAAAATTACTGTTGGATTAAAATAAAAACGAGAGATTTACTTGTAGAATTAGAGTGTAGCAAATAGTGTGTAACACTTTTTATTAGATTTAAATATAGAGAAGAGAGATTTTAATTTTAATTATATATTTACATTTAAATAAATTAGGTTATCAAGCTCATACTCCGTATGTTATCATTAATTATCCGAATACAGAGTACTTACGTATTTATTTATTTATATGTTCTTGTATAGATATTAAGATATAATGAAAATGTACACAGGATTTATGATGAATTTATCCCGTTTTCTTTTTTTTCTCTCTTTCTGGACTTTTTCCCGTTAACCTTGAGAATCCGAAAGAGTATTTGTAAGTGCACTTTGTATTATAAAACAAGAGCTTTTGTATTATTGTTCTAAATTTTACTAGATTCTCAACAATCAAGACTATTAATATTAGTTTATATATTTTGTAATACTGAAATAAAATTCTTTAGCTTTTTTTATTACCCTATACTTTCACCAATTTGAAACCAATTTTGATTATTGTTATGTATAAATTAAAAGGATTTACTTCTGTATTGGTTTTCTATTACTTTTGAATTAGGTCGTGTTTTCTTATGGAAGAACATTACAAATTATTTAACACTTGACAGTTTACTATATTTATTTTGTTTATATAGTAAATAAATACGAGTATCTGCCATATTTGACATATATTTATTTACTGTGTATATTTTTGACACAGGAATTAAAATGTTGCATGAAAATATTTGAGTATGCAAATGTGTATAAAGTCAATTTACTTTGTGCGATGGAGATTTTTATATTAAAGCCTCCGACGCGACAGAATCGAGGACATGCGGTTCTATAACGCTGAGTTTTTATAAATATTGTATTTGTAAAAAAAAAAATTATAGTGATTGTCCTAGCGATAAGACCGCCTTTTGTTCCTTTATGTATATATTTTAATCTGTATTTTATGCTACTTTATTTCACTTGAATTGTTTATGTCATAGATTTTTAAGTTTCTGGTAAAATAAAGAGTTAATTAAATAAATAAATAGTGTAATTTTGTATGCCTATCATTCTATTTATAATATGCACTCGTTTCTACATACAGTGTTAATAAAATAATTAAAAAAAATCGAGGCGTAACCATTCACTATCATAAATTGTTTGTCAACTTATTATAAATAAAAGTAATTATATACATACTTGGTTTCATCTATGTAAACTGCTTCGAGGACTTTGGCGGCGTATTGTAAATTCTTTTGTAGTGTTTCTGCCGATATTTCACCTCTGTTCAATTGTCTTAGGAGATAGCGTAATCTGTGGACAAAAAAGAAAAAAAAAATCAATATAGGCATACTACAATTATTCAATCACCTTACGTATTTGTATTTGTATATTGTACTTTATAATCATCATATCAGCCGTTATCTGTCCACTGCTGAACATAGGCCTCCCCATAGATTGGTGGGTTTGCCAATAATTGTTAAGGATGATAGGTGAGGATGAACTAGGTCAGTTAGCCCATCGTGACGAATTCAACACAAATTGTTCACGATGGTTTCCAGGGGGAACCACGTGGAGGTCGACCTAATAGGGTATATTGCTAGCAATGAGGCTGTTAAACTCCATTGCTAACAATTATATAGTATTAGTTGAATGCAACAAAATTGCTCTCAGTAATATGGCCGTCTTAGCGGGGGGGAAAGGGATTGTTAGCAATGGGGTCTAATAGCCCCATTAGTAGCAATATACCCTCTCAGGTCGACCTCTACGCGGTTCCCCCTGGAAACCATCATGTTTAATTCTTGTCGAATTCATCATGGTGGGCCAACTGACCTGCATTCATTCTCATCTATCATTTTCCAATGGTGCCTTGTCGGTGTATACTGATAGCGCGGGCGGGGTTAATATTCCATTATCACCCATTAAAAAAAATATGGCCGTCTTATATTATTTATATATATATATATATGTATATTGTACGTTATTTATTTAAGTACTTTATGAATTATATATAGGTTCATTGCTTGCGTACGTCTAAATTATCTTCAAGCTGCAGCTGAAAATCAGTGCTTTGTTTTTAAATAAACTTAAACTGTCACCGAGCTGTGACCTATTTATGTCATTGCAAAATACATGAGGAAAACATCTTTTTTTTATTTCTGTATTCATTTATTTAGTTGAGAATTTTGGAAATTGAAATAATCAGTGATATAATTTGACAAGAAATATCTTTGGAAATAATCAAAGCCACCATTCGATTCGATAGACAGTCGAGTCAATGGTACTCGTCTGATACGGATTCTCAATCTATTATGGATCACCGCCTCTTTTAAAAGAAAAAAAAATCAACGCCCCGTAAATCTCTATATGCGTGATAAAAATATAACGCTTTTATTTGTCCCTGTGTGTGTTCCTCTATGGACTGTTCCACGAGAATGGGAGGGGGGGGGGGGACGTTATCGCTTCTATTGAATATTGACGAATGACGTCGAAAAATTTACCTATTGTTTGACTTTTGACTCACGAGAATCAGAAGATTCAGAAAACAGACTCAGGAGTGGTATTTGTCTACATTTTATACTAATTAAAATAATGTAAAGTAACATAGAATCGAGGTACAAATATTAAAACAGTGTGACGTATTGACAAAGGGTTTTTTTTTATACAACTTAGAATGGCAAACAAGCTGACGGCCCACCTGATGTAAAGTGGTAACCGTCGTCTATAGACATGAGCAGTACCATGGACATAACAGAGTATACCGTTTCGCCCATGATACTCCCCATGCGTTGCCATTTCTAAAGACTCAGGTGTTATTCCTCTGTACCCAGTAAATTCACGCCATATCCCATTCTTCAAACCGAAACACAGCCATGCAAACACAACTGCTTCACGGTTGAAACATGAATGGTTTATCCTAACGTATAAGAGTTCCTTTTAGAATGATGGTCCCCTATATTTATGTTTTAAAGGATTATCTGTAAAAAGGTCGACAGTCTTACTAATATTATGAATGTGAAAGTGAGTTTGTTTGTTAGTTTACAGTGTCTTAATGGCTTAATAAACAATTATGAAATTTAGTATAAACGTACTACATGGAATAAAGCAGGATATAGGCTACTTTTTATCCTAGTAACTTAGACGAAGTCGCGGGTAAAAGCTAATTCTATATAATTGGATTAAATCTAGAAATATACTTATTACATAGACCCTAACACAACTAAATCAGTCATGCATCACTGAATAGTTTTATTAATTTTCTGAGAATTATATTTTCCAGATCAACAGTGTCACTAACGTACTCACAAGTTAGGTATTTACCATCTTTTGTTTTTAGAACAGAGAACTTGAAATTTGTTTTAATTATAATGGGACGTGTGGTATATAATTCCATGTCGTGATAACACGGCTAAATACTAGTACTTTTTATATAAATAAGAACTGTAGAAATGCATTCTATAAATTACTTCTAACTAGGTCTTTTTTTTCTAAAAGAGAACTGTTTTATTTCTAGAACTAATGTTATTAAAAGCTCGTAATAGTCTTATCGGGTCAGCTATTAGGTTTGTTCAATATTATACGATATTTTTTATTTAATACAATTTGAACTGAAAAACAAGCTAAAGATGTACTTGATGGCTATTCACCTTAGAGACGGGCATTACTAGTAACGAAAACTAGTACCCCCTACTAGTACCATAAATATATTTTCTCAGAATGTCGCGTCTATTCTTGGTGAATTCATCATAATTGACCTGATTTTATGCTCATTTCATGATCGTCCTATATTGGTATATATCCTGTTAGCAGAAACAAACAGGGAAGACGGGGTTACCATTCCATTTTCATTCATTTATAAAAGATTTACGTGTATATCTGACTCTATTCGGGTTATCGTATGCATATTCAATTATTGACATTATTATATTAATTTTTCTGACTGCAAATGTCAATTCAATTCTTGCAATGTAAGTAAGTAATGCATATAAATTATCTATCTATTTACCTAATGTATGGATATTTTATTATATTCACCATAGGTAGTGTATTGACATAATTTGCACTCATAATGTACTCAAGTATTTAATTTGAAGCTAATCATGTTTATTATAAGGTCCTGACTGACGGCGCCATGATGGTTCAGGTCATTGAGATTCCTAAAATATGGTTGAGCACGATGATGACTGACTCATCTGTCATACTCGTGAACGGGTGTAACTTGTGCGGACTGGGCTGCTTATGTTTGGTTATTTATTTTACATTTAGTAATACATATAAATAGAACTTAAGTCTAATTATAGTCACAATATCTATACAAATGTAAAATTATCTTGTACATAATAATTTGAAAAGAGTAACTGTTGAGTTTCTTGCGGGTTCTTCTCAGCAGAAAACAATATTCCGAACCCAGCGGTTCAATCATAAAAAACTCACGATTAAAAAGAGCTTGAAAACAAGTCTATTTGAATAAGAATATTTCTATTTTATTCTATTCATAATTTAAAATTTTATTTTTATCTCCTTTTAGCATTCGTTAAAAATACACATATATTTCACGCATACCTACGTTTTCACTGCATTCAGTCGTCACATGGTACACGTGAGCGGTAAAATGGAAATACGACTAACTGAAAAGCAATACGGATTTCCTCCTATGTTTTGCACTTTTTGTACACTGTAAATTAGAGGTTCTAAAACAATCCACAAACTCTTTGTTGACCAAAAAGTTTGTCAATCTACCAAATTTTAAAAAATATTTTCATTACAAATGTGGCCGTATAGGTAACATGTGTGTGTATAGGTAAACATTAAGTGAAATTCCAAATTTATAGGTCTTATTATTTTGAAAATTTTAGCCTAAACATTCTGAAGTATTAAATTTGACTGTATTTTTTGTCCCTGTAGTTATACGAGTACTGTTTTTTTAAATTGATGTCATTAATTTATGTTCAAAATCTCTGTCCAATGGTGGGCATACTGCTTAGTATAGGTATGGTAGTTTTCGAGTCTATGTAACTTTTTTTAAATACTACTATGGTGGCATACAAGCATACGATTTGTTTGAAAGTAAACAGGGTTACCTATCTACCTACCTATGGGCGTCTGTAACACTAGGGATGTCACGCGTGTTTCGCCGATCCTTAATAAACCTTAATACGCCCTTTTTGAAAAACCTCATGCCACCTCACCTCATAGTCCTTAGGGAAAGCCTCGGCAGGATGATCATACTCACAACTTGAGCGTTCGCGGGAGGAAGCTCCTCTGAAACCATACTGTGTGAACGAGTTTATGGTTATTACACACCTGGTTACACGATTATGGCTGAAATAATCTTTTGCAATCGTTTTTTTTTTATATGTCACAGTGATTACTTGCTCAGTGTATGCCACGTCAATGATTAAAATCCGCAATTTTCCGCCGCCTTCAGCTGGATTCTCCAAAATAAATGAGATAATATTTAGGATATAAAGAATACGTATACGGTAAAATACGGGAACAAAAGATACCATATATATACAAAGGTAAAATATAACGATACCTTGAATATTTTTGTCTCTGTAGACAAGTGGCAATCTCTAAATAAGTTTACCCTCTTAGGAAAATGACCTTTATACTTTTACGATTAGTTTATGGTCAGAAAATAAAATAGGCTTACACTGTCCGTGTCTGTGAGAGGCTACAACAGTTTCTCTCTCGTTTTTTTTTCATGAAAACGTTAATATATTTAAAAATGGATGGGATTGCTACTTGTCTAGGTTAGTTATTTATACATTAATTTAATTTTGGGTATAAAAAAATTAATACTAAATATTTCATTACCCAATTAAGATATTTTGGAAAATCAGACATATCCAATTTTGACATAATGATACAATAAAGTGTCATCATGGACTTCTTGCTTTTGATTTCCTATTTGAGTTATGCGAAATACGTGTTTCTCTTATAATCATCTATATTTGCAATTCCTTCAGTACTCACTCCTTTTCCGGCTATATCGTCTTTCGCACATCTCCTTTTACATCTTTCTTTACTTACTTACACTGATGATTACCTACATTTATATTAAATACTTTCCTTACTGTATTCTCTTTCCTTCTGTACTTCAAATATTTTTACCGGGCAATGTCCTAACTTATACTTGTTGTTGTTATTTATTGTTGCTTTTTGATACACCTTTGGGAAGTCATCAGCATTATATCAGTCAATAACTGTTAATATAGGTCTCTCTAAGAGGGGAGGAGTGTTGCTAGTAGTCGTTATGCTTGGTAGGAGGCTGGCAACCGTCGTCGTCGCAGCTGTCGGTCTCTCGACCA